CGCAAGCCGGAGTCATTTGTTATGAACTATATTAAGGCTGAACGTACAGCAAATCGCATCAAGCGTGTTTTGCGAACAAATATACTCAAAACTAACGAGGCACAGAAAACGAATCAGAAGCTATTACTTGTTATGAGGCACACTGGAAAGAAGGTATTCGATGAAACTACAAACACAATATTACGCACATTAAGGATGCCGGTACGTCATAATGCCGACTTTCGCATAATCGCAGAACACATTAATACCATATTATCGCGAAATGAGAAAATAATTAGAAAGCTTGGGAAAGATCACTTTTCGCGAAATGATCACAGTTGCGGGCGGATGTGATAACAATACGGCTGCAAACAAGCTAATCGCCAACTTTATTATTATTATTATAAATTTAGCCAGAGAATAAATTCTAAGACTGAAGATCTTAAAAGCACTAGCATCTAAGGCTTTCGGCTTTATTAAAAACTCTACCGCACTTGAGATTTGAACCCACGACATTTTGAGTGTTTCATTCAGCGCAGCGAATTGTGTCTTGTTGATTTGCTGAATTACAGAAGATGAGGAAGAAGATATTTTGAAATTTAATTTATGGAGTTTAATCGCGGGTTACTAAGAGTTCTACTGTAAAAGGAAGACAATTAATGAAACCGGTGATTACGATCAATTTCACACTTGAATTTTGACTGTCGACAAAGACCAGAAATCCATTAAACAACCAATTAACCAGAGATCAAGAAAGCCATGTATATGACAATCCAAGCGTTTCATGATTAATCCCCTTAATTAAAACACTTTGACGAGGCATCATCAAAATAGGGCTAAGAATAAAAGTAAATCAAGTTTTTTTTTCATTTAACTCTTATTTATTTGATAACATTAGACTAAAACAAAAATCCTGAGAATTCCATATAGACCAGACGTGCAATTTTGTCCTAATAAGCATTGCTTATAAGCGTCAATTTATTTTTTTAGCAAAACTGGAGCAGTATAAGCAGCTGTGTATGGGGCGGCAACGTAAGGAGCAGCGGCAGCATAAGGAGCAGCAGCATAAGGAGCCGCCACATAAGGAGCAGCATAAGGGGAAGCCAAAGCAGCAGCAGTGTAGGGAGCAGCCAAATAAGGTGCTGTATATGGAGCGGCTGCTACATAAGGAGCAGCGAAGGCACCATGGTACTGACGCGATACAACAGTGCTAGCGGCAAGTGGAGCAGCTGCTACAACGGGGGCTGTGTAAGCGACTGGAGCCACGACGCCGGGTTTAGCAATCACAGAAGCCACGATAGCGAACAAAGCGAATGCAAATAATTTGAACATTTTTAAAATATTGTTTCTTATGTTTCTTGTATAGGACAACGAATTGAACTGTGCTGTTTATGGACAAACACTGACCATTTTATAGGTAAAGATGGAAACAAATAAGACAATCGTAACTAAAATCAAAAATTCAAAGAACCTTGCTTAAGGTTGCGTTGGTAGCATAGCGATTGCATTACGATATTGCTAGCACAAGACAAGAAAAAACAAATTTGTTTCAATGTCATCGAAAATTTGTCAATTTGTTTTATGTAATGGTTTTTCGATTTTGCGTTCAAGTCACGTCCTGAATTAAAGACAAATTTATTGCGACAGTAACACAGTAACCTAAACTTTATGTTAGTCTACAAACGAACAATTGCTTTTTATATGTATCATACCATGTACATTGAATTGAGTATAACGTCTTTAAACATTCTATTTATTATAATATTGTCTTGTTTTGCAAGTTGTATAGTTATCTATTATATGTATGTAATTTGCGTATTCATTTATAATTTATTTTTTATAAGTTATTCCTGCTGCGCGCCCGCTAATCCTGTTTTCCATATCCTTTTTTATACCCATCACCGCTGGATAAGGGGTATGTGTATTCGGAAGGAGACCCCACAGACCCCACGGAGTATACATATTCTTGAGCAGCATTAAATTTTGGATCGATTTAAGCATATCCCTGCGTCCATCTGTCCGTCCGTTGTAAACATTCTTCTGTTCGCAAATATAAAGCTATTGAAATGGGCCAAATTGGTCGACAGACATGCCTTCAGTGTTACATGAACTGACCACATCTCTGCTTTTGATAAACAATGAAAAATTGGCTCTTTGCTCGTTACTCAGAAACTGCAGCAGATATATCTACAAACATTCGAACACAAAAGTTAATAATCACTCACTATTTAAGTGGACTAAGAAAACTGTCGATAGCAGTACAAATTGCTTTGAATAAAATTACGTTAAATTTTTTCAAGATTCTGACGGACATTTTACTGTCTAAGCTTCTAATCTTTTCTACATTTCAACAGATAAACTCAAATCTAGTCGCTCTACTAACGAGTAACTAAGGAAGACAACGTGAACTGTAATTATTAGAATTTGTGTCAGTTCGCCGAATTTAAGCGAAACGATTTTTATGTTTGCATAAAGTAAATATTTATGAGTAGATTTCATTTGTAATTTGTTAACAGAACAAGTAAGGAAATTATATTCGGCTATGATGATTCTGTTACATTCACCTCCTTGATCTTAAAAATAAAACTAATTTCGATACGTCATTCTGTCAATTTATTTTTTTTCAAAGTCTGTTATTCTGATATTCGGTTTTTTAATGCTGTACAGGTACTGTAGAATCATCCACAGACGTGGAAATTTTAAATTCTGATACTAGTCAAGACTTTCTAGAGTCTCTGAATCTTCCTTCCGTGCGTTGCAGACGTTTTGGCAAAAAAATTAAATTTCAACATTCTATAATACATACATAGTAAGCACGGTCAATCGTTTCTATTTTTCTACAGTTATTGTGGAATCGCTCCTACAAGTTTTTCAAAGCAGATGGTGTGTGGTTATATTGCGCTAAGGATGTGTCTTTCAACCCATTCCCAATACAAACCAGCATGCAAGAATTTTTTATTGGTCAGACAAATTCGCGGTCAATAGCTTCAACTATGTGATCAGTAGAATGTTTACCATAACCTGACAGACGGACATACTTAAATTGATTCCGGGTTTGGTGCTAATCAATATTTTATTATAAAAGATCTATTGTACACGCCTGTGCCCCTAGCCCTCCACTTTTAGGATTCCTATGAATCCCGCTACCTTCTTTAGATCGGAGCACCTTATCATGCGCGGTGTTATGAATGCTCACAAAACACATGGAGTCTGACTCTATCTGTAGAGTCAGATTACGATAGGACATCCCACTCGTCACTTGACAGAATCTGAATCGGTATCGACTATGCCCATATTTTTCAGGGGGTACCTAAGGGAATTATGAGTCGTGTAGAAGCCCGTGACTAGACGTAGATCGCATCATCTTAGTAGGTTATGTGTCGTAAAGGAAGATTTTATGCATCTGTTTGTTGGCCATTGTCCTACACATTGTTTCAAATAGCAATCCGATTTTTTCTGTACCCGATGCGATACCAGCGTATTAACCTGGCTTCTGGCTTCACAGAAAGGTTCAGGACATATCATGGTCCCTCTGGACAGTTCTCTGATCTCAGCACTCGAACGGCGGGATACCCATATTATGTGCACACCATTGTGCCTGCTTAGTTCATACAGTGTTTGGAGACGCTCCAACACAAGCCTAGATGTCAAGGACGAAGAAGATGTTCAAGGACTTTAAGGCTGTGGGAATAAGACAAAGTATATACGTACTCTACAGGCTCTTTGAAGCTTCATTCTGGGCGTTTAAAAAGTTTGCATAAAACTCTTTTTGATGAATATAATAAAAGAATTTATTACGATTTGTTTTTGTTCTTACGTTATTAAGTGAAAGTTGTTTGCATTACTTCCAAAGCGGAGCCGTTGAGCTTGAAGACAAATACTAAATGGCTTCGCTGTGTAGTAGTCGACGGCAAAAATTAATATCGCCGTCTTCTATATAAGTATAGTGGCCCTTCTTTATTTTCAGACTTTTTAGTAATTAGCTCTTTACAATTGAAAATTAAGTATGGGTTCTATTTTAGAAGAATAGGTATTGCTATTGGTTGCACTTTTGTGAAATTACCTTGAAGAAGTAATTGCGAATTGAAAAGAAGCCCTTCTTCCTTTCTGCTAAAGGATATAACTTTATGTATAATAATTTAAGATTCAACTTTCTAGGAACATCAACAATTCATCGTTAGCGCCCCGTGAAAGTTATTCATTCGAATATAGATAGCATTTCTGTCAAGCAGATCGAATCAAGTGTTAATCAACGTGCCAAGATATGTTAGATCACAAGTAGGAGGGAAGTATATATATTTTATAGGGTGATAGTAGCTTGCCTGTTTAGATCCTAAATAAGACGGTTTTTCGAACTTGCGTGGAATTAGAAAAATTTGTTTTTTGTTTATTACTCATTTTTTGCAACAATTGTAGCCGTCAAAATTTCCTCGCATATGAATAATCTGTCCGCAAAATGGAACAAATCAGCCACAGTATCGAAATATCGATGATGAGGAATTTGTTCACATATTGATTATTTTCGAAATTGATCCAAGTCTTTATCAGAATTCGCGTTCGCTCGCATAAATTAATTGTCCATGGACAAAGAAACTCATTTCATAATGTTTCTATGCCAATAACGCCAAGACGTTTAAAAAATAAAAATAATGTCGCCTTCGTTACGGTGAAGAAACTTCTTTGCCCTGAAATAAAAAGTTCTCGATGTAAAGTTCCTTCCTCAACTATGAAATAAATTAGGTACAGTTTACTTTGTTCTTGGCCATAAGCCGCCAGTAGCCAACTAGTGAGTTGGTGGCCATCTCTCTTACTCCTTTTCTTTCTTCGCTTTCTTCTGGCCTTTTTGCATTGTACAGGACTCATCTCCTAAGTGATTGATCATATTAAAAAGAAACCAAAAGTAGGAGCAAGTCTCTCCCGCCTTCTGGTGCAATGTTGTATAGATGCGTCCATAGTAGCGATATCTACGTGGGCTGTGTGCATGACAGCCTTTGCAAACACCGTATCTTGTATCTTACGATTATTCTCTTCCTTGTTTGAACATCTGCCGCGTTCATGTGCGTCTCCATTAATCGGCGTAACCTGTATAATAATTTTATTTTATAATTTCACCACGTACGCCTGAGAGACCGAGCAGGCAAATGGTCTCGATCAACAACTCAATGGTCCTACGTTCACATCTCAAGTGTGGTAGTCGCAATAAAGCCGTTAGTCTTAGACGCTAATGTTTTAAGAATTTAGAATTCACTTTTCTGGCTAAATTAATAATAATAATAATAATTATAGTTTCCCCATATGACTATCAAACTTTTTTCTGGTATAAATTAAAATTATTGTTATCAAATTTAATATTGACAAAAGACCGAACTTATGCTAGGTTGAGAATTTTTCAGTGGATTTAGTGGTACTATCACACATTTATACGTTACCCCACCACCGTATTGAGCGATGTATTACATGTGCCAAGAGTTTCAAATTATCGAAACTAAACAAGTGAAAACACTATAGTGAGACATCGTGCTCTAGTAAATATCATATACCTTTAATGCAGTCATTCATAGTACGACTTTTCAAAATAAGGCGATATGGAAAGTGATCAAAAAAGTGATCCGATCCGATTCATTTTCAATAGCGTTTGTTCTTGCACTAAAATACGTAGATGCTCCAAATTTCATCAAAATATCTCAAAAATTACGACCTGTAGGTTGAATGCATGAAAACAAAACATACAAACCGACAGACATCGAATGAGTTAATCAATCGGTGTAATGGAAGATAAGTTTGCCTATTTATCTCATATTCTTCCACAGGCTTAATATAGCATTGTACCGCAATTGCCGTAGGGTATAATAGCGAAATTAGGAGCAAAAGTCTCCTTTACGGGTTATCTTAAAGGCATTTTTGGACGTTGCATAAGAAATGACACAAAACTGAACTAAAAAAATAGTCACTACAAACTTTTAACGGTTTTCATTAACTCACCTTGTTGTTGTTTATTTACTTATTACCCTTCGGATTTTTCTTAATTCGCGAAAAAAAAAGTTGAATTTTTTTATTTTTTCTTTATTTTTCTCTGTTTTTCATATAATATTCTCTATATCCTTTCGATTTTGTTGTTGTTGTTTATTCAATTTTTTATTTCTTTTAATTTTTTTTAGTTTTTGTTTATATTTCATCGAGTGTTTTACCTTTCAATTTAATTCTGTTTGACTGACTTGTTGTTGTTGTTGTTGAAGGTTTTTTCCCCCTTTTTTTCTATATATAATAATAATTTTTAAGAAATCTTCCTTTTTTATTATTTCATCTAAATATTTCAATTATTTAGTTATTAATAATAATAATAATAATAATAATAATACATTATAATATAATAATAATAATATAATAATTGTCATATAATAATAATTAATATAATTTAACCGCTTGATTTACTTTTTCTTTCTTTTTATTTTTTTATAATTTTCTTTTTCGGTTTTCATTTTACGATTTTTATATTTTCGCTTTTCTTAAAAATTTTTTAAACATTTGATTTTTTTTCTTTTATTACTATTATTATTTATGTCATTATAAATAAATTGCGTGTGTGTTTGTGTGTTTATGTTTTGAATTTTATATGTAAATAATTGAAATATATACGTTTTTTATATACTATTGCACGAAATGCAATTTCTAAATGAAAAAAAAAACTTCAAAGCATTTAAAAATGTTTGCTGGGATTGAGATTTAATGCATTGGGTATTTTTTTGGATATTTTCGTTTAATTTAAAA